TTATTACTATCATCCTTATTTTACAGTAGTTTGATATTTCTCCTTGCCTAGACTGTGAGTTCTAACTCAGGATTCAGACCCAGCTTTAACTGACAGATTTAAGTGTCCTACACTAACAGTGTTTCTCATGGTCTTGGCACCCTCAGATGATAAGACATTAAGCGCGTTAAGTGTCCAAAATTTAAAAAAAAAAAAAACTTTTTAGAAATGTTTCATATTTTTAAAAAAACTGAAACTTCACAAGCATTTAAATTATTTTCTTATTCTCTTTCTACTGAAACAGAAAATGCTTATTTTTAAAATGTAGGTCAGTCATCAAGAGTTTTAAGCATTTTATGGTTCTGAAAAGTAGTTCTAAATATTCAGATCAAACAGAGTTCTTAAACTATACAACTATTTCTCACTGAAGATTGTTGTTTGAATCCTTCCATCAAATGCTAAAAGGAAGAGCATACCACACTCAGAAGCTGGGAGGTTATAAAAGCTTAAACTTCAGAAATAGCAGCAAAAGGACTCCTGATCCACTTTTTAGTTCTATTTGGCTCTAGAAAGTAGAGCTTCAGGTTTATTGCAACATTAACATTTTTTTAATATGTCAAGAAGTTTTCATCAATTTCATTCTCTAATAAGCAAAGGAAATCAACAAATGTTAAGAAACACACTGATTGGGACATTTGCTACACAGGTGAATCATCTTTAAAAATTGTTTCCCTTAACCTCAGCAATAAAAAGACTGTAATATTTAGGTCATTAAATGAAAGATTTAAGCTATTGAAGACACTAGATACACTGCTGAGATATACCGCCTGAGTAAGACACTTGAAATCTTAGGAAATCTTTATCATTATCAACATCATAAAGAGGAGAAAAAAAAAAAAAACCCTCATGTGATTAGGGATGACGTGTCTTGTTTGCAACGTACTTACAACATATTTAGTATTCAGTAAAATAATGTTATCTGTATATAAAGTCAATATGGCAAAATGTGATCAGCAAGTTTAGGTGAAGAGAGAACTATGTTCATTGCACAATTATTCTCCCAACTTCTCTGTAGATACAAAATTTTTCAAAACAGAAAATTAGAACACCCTACCCCATTTATTTGAGGGTTTAGGGGTTGAGGTAGAATTATTTGAATGAGTCTTTTTCTCATCAGGAGTCAGAATATTTCAGTATCAAACAGCAGAGCCTGAACTAACATGCCCATTTTTTTCAAAAAAAGTATGATGCAAAAATGTATATTCAGTGGCCACAATTTGACAGCGTTCAGAATTTTCATTATTTTCTTCAGCACTCACTCCAAATCAGGAGGCATACTGTTTACTACAACTGTTCTCTGGGAATAAACCACTGTCGAGCCTGGCAGTCTTGTCAGCTAATTTTTCATGTAGTAACATCATTCCTTTCAGTATACATACTAGTGATCTATCAGTATAAACTTCTATGCATTTTTTACATTCAAAATAATTATTAACTACATGAAGAATTACTTCTTCTGCAGCATGAGTTTCCAGTAATAAGGAAAACAAAGCAAGCAGTAATGTCTTCCCTCACACATGCAAACAGTAGATTCACATCTGGCATCAATTTCTTCCAAATGTGAAGTGAAATATCTACTAACAGTTCACACTGAATGCCACTTAGATTTGTGATGCCAAAAGAAATCAATTTTTTTTTTTTTACTCTCCAAGCAAAATAAACTACTCTTATCATCGTGGCTGATTTCTCAAGCATCTCAGCAATAATGTGACTTGTACCTGTATTTGGCACAAGTAGTGTAAATTCGGTCTCTCTAGCTTTAGCAACTACAGTAATCAACTTTGTCCAGGAAAACATTCTGTGCTTGCTCTAGAAAAATATCTGTTTGTTTTACTGAGAAGTTACCATGTTTAACTTAAAAGTGACAGCACAAGTTTCAATGGTTTCATGACTAAGTTTCATTAAAAAATCAACAAATAGATAACTAGGTAAAAATGGGTTACTAGTCCAATCAAATCAAGTTTTTAAACATTCAACATCATACTATTTAAATCTCTTTTTAGTTGTTTAGACAAAATCAGTACACATACAGATTCACTTGTCTCTGTACACAGAGATTTAAATTGAACATACACACTGTAGTGCTTACACTATTGTCGTATACAAAAATTTTTTGTTTTATTTGGGGTTTTTTTGTTTTGTTTTGAAAATATTAATAATATTGGTTAGTAGTTTCCACCACTATTTAACCCAGCAATGAGTCACCTTTGAATAAATGATCTATTCTGTGAATTACGGATATGATGTAAACTAACAGGAATAAAAAAAATTCAGATTTAATAAATGTAAACAATAATACATAAATAACAGGAAAGCAGAAACACTCTACATCATGTTTTAAATATGAGCTGATACCAAAATACCAATTTAGTCTTTGCAGAACACGCATTTAAAAACAAGTTACAGAGGATCCTTAGGAAAAAGTTTAAGCCTCTGCTACCAACCACATAATGGTTTTTCCTTCTAACAAAAAAAAAAATTATGTCCGATGTTCTTAAGGAAGGTGAAATTTACTGTGTTCTTTTCCTATTAGGAGACAAAAATGAATAAAATATTCATAACCGTGAAGCTCTTTATCTAGCCTCCACTTAAAAAATTTGTCCCTTTGTAGTTCACTGAAGCTAAAGAAAGCTATAACAGGATTTTACTATGAGCAGAAATCGTAACTCTTTTATGGGCTTAAAATTTCTCCCTGTACTCTATCTGGAGAAAGGGAGAATGAAGAAAACCAAAGACACAAGGAAAAGATTAGCCCAAAGGACTAATGGACCACAACTACCACATCCTCCATGAGACTGAGTCCAGCACAACTAGATGGTGCCCCGCTACCACCACCAACTGCTATGACAAGGATCACAACACTGGGTCCCGGACAGGGTTGGAGAGAAATGCAGAACAAAATTCAAACTCACAAAAAAGGACTAGACTTACTGGTTTGACAGAGACTGGAGAAACCCCGAGAGTATGGCCTCCGGACACCCTTTTAGCTCAGTACTGAAGTCACTCTTGAGGTTCACCCTTCGGCCAAAGATTAGACAAGCCCATAAAATATACAATAATACATGTAGCTCAACCACGTATACAAGACTGAATGGGTACACCAGCCCAGGGGGAAGGACGAGAAGGCAGGAGGGGACAGGAAAGCTGGACGAATGGAAATGGGGAACCCAAGGTCAAGAAGTGGAGAGTGCTGAGATACGTCACAGGGTTGGCAACCAATGTCACAAAACAATACGTGTATTACTTGTTCAATGAGAAACTAATTTGCTCTGTAAACCTTCATCTAAGGCACAATTAAAAACAAAAAAAATTTTCTCCCTGTACACAGAAACTTCATATGAACACAAAGCTGCAGGATGTGGACATACTCTCGTTTTCCTGTTTCCCGAGCAAATAGACTTTCAGAGTCCAAGACCATTAGGACAACTGAAACCGTCCATTTTCAGACAGCAGAGTGAGAGCAATGTGGGTAAAATCTAAATTGTCTGGACATTGCATTTTCTGGGGAAAAAAGAACACGTAAAATCTTTTTATTGGTTTGTCTCAGTGTCAGAATATCTGTTCCCTTTTCATAACAATTATCAAAGTATGATGTAACTCAGAGAGAAGAGGTTTTCTCAGACTTAACAGACAGTAGCATAGAGAGTAACAGGTTACGAGAGATATAATGGGACTCTATAAAAATCATAAACTGCCTTACATTTCCAATTTGTGAAATCTATGTAAATGAAATGTCTTTACTGTAAACTACTTATTATCACAAGGGATTTACCGATCACAATCTCAAAGACACTGATCTAAGATATATGTGATTAAATACTTATTTAATGCCTACTAAATCAAACTGAAAATAGTAAGGGTATTCAATCTCTCAGGGGCTTCAGGTGCTATTATATTAAAACACTTGATTATCTGTTCCCATAGAGCTTTGTACTTCTTTATACATGTTGCATGTTTTGTACTTTTTTATCTTTCACAAAACAATAAGTTCTTTAAGAACAACTATATTATCTGTCTTCTTTACCACTCTCACCAGCAGCCCAGAGCTCAGTGTATGGCAAATAACAAATGCACAATTTACTATTACTTGGATTGATTAATGAGTAACAGTCACTGAATTAATGTTTACTGAACTATTACTCTTTACAATAACTCTGTGAAATCAGATATTAGCCTTTTTTCTAGTAAAATAAAACTCAAGAGAATTTAAATGATGAGTCCAAGGTGGTAAGACAAATTCAACTCCATCTCTGATTTCAACACAGTGGTCTCCACATGACAAGTTAGCTTTGTTCTTCCAACATATTTACAAAGTGCAAAATATTTAAAAGGCACTTTGCTAGGCCAATCACCTTTGAAAACTTGAAATCTGCAAAAGCCAGAACCTGTATAAGGTGGTAACCTGTTAGAGAAGGAAAGCTCAAATATTTTCCAGTAAAGAGAGCAACAGAAAAGTGGCAAGACTGCAACCTGTCAAAGCTGGAAAACTTGGAAGACCCGTAAAAACAAGGCAGTTCTGTCGAGTTCCGGCTCTCACAGGTATCCTGTATATGCTCATATGTCTAACCACTAAAAAAAAAAGCAGTATCAAAATTCTTGTATCTATACTGTGTACGAATCAGCATACATTTTAGCATCCCATTAAATAAACAGTATTAAAAAACGACCGCAGCGAAGTTTTAACCATTTAGCAGAGTCCGTGAGACTAATAATAAAGCCTCATATTTTACTTATAATTCTTATAGATGACTGTCAGCTACTTATGCTTGACTACCAGTATGTAATCAACTGTACATGACTAAAAACGAAGATTGGACCAGTGTCTAATTAACGTAAGAAGTAAAAAATTACTGTGATCTGCTACAGAAGGTTGAGCTAATTTTTCTTAACATTGTTTTGAATGGTTATAAAATATCCTTCTATTTTTATGACATTAAATAGCAAAGAAATTATTTACATACTCTTCTTGATATTTTTGGTTTGTGGATGTGGCTGAATTCCTCCAGCTGGAAGTCCATAGGTGCTTATTCGTTGTACAAGACTTGCTACATTCCCATGCCTTTCCCGTTTGATGGGCAAATTATCATCCTTGGATTCTGTCTCTCTCTTGATTTCCTATAAAACAGAATATCAGTAAATAGGTAAATTAAGTTGCTTTTAATTAAATTCTCAAATAAAACCAGGTACAGCAATTGTTACATAAATCATAATATTAATAGTTTTCAACCTTTTTCTCTGCCCAAACACATCTGAAGAATGCAACACATTTGGTACCAGTGGCTCATTATGACTTTACGTCTTCCGAGAGCTAGCGATGGAGGTAAAGAAAGAGAGGCTGAAACACCCCGCTATGCCAACACACAAAGTAACCCTAAGATATAAATAACAGTATATTTTAAGTCAAGGGTGGCCAAATTTTTTTTTCTATAAAGGGCTAAATAGTAAATATTTTATGATTTATACTTCATACAGACTCTGTTGCAACTACTCAATTGTAGTGCAAATTCAGTCATATATTAATTGAATAAGCATAGCTATATTTGAATAAAACTATTTGTGAACACTAAAATTTCAATTTCATATACTTTAAACATGTCACAAACTATTATTCTTTTGATTTTTTCTCAATCATTTATAAAGTTTATTAGCTAACATTCTTAACTCATAGCTTTACAAAAACTGGCATTCAGATTTGGCCCACAGGCTGTAGTTTGATGACCCCTGTTCTAAGTCATCTAACATTCAGAAAGGGATAAGAGCAGGGGTGACTTTCAAAACAACTCAAACTGGTGGTGCATAAGCACTGATTAATCACAATGAATGCATCAACCAATCACAAAGAGAATAAATAACCAATGTGATCATACCACACATGCCAGCTAAATACAAATCTCAATGAGAGTAAAGTCAACAAGGGACCTTATCCCAATGGTAATAAAAAGTTTAAGTATTCTTATTAGATGTAATCTTAAGCTACATGGTGCTAGTAAGACTTATGTTCCATATTTGGGGATAGGGAATAAAACTGGATCCTTCTCTCACACAACACCTAAAACCTATCCCAGGTGAATTAAAAACTTAGAAGTGTCAAATAAAACTAAAAATATTAGAAGACACAGTAAGAATGCTTTTGTAACTTAAGCAATTAAAATATTTTCTTAAATAAGACACTAAAAAGCACAAACTGACTTCTGGGCAACATGGCGCTACAGTCAGAAGCACCACGCCATTCCTCCACAGCAAAGATCCGAAAAACTAAGTCAAACAGAGTCACACATCAATCCTGAAACCCTAAGCATCAAATGAAGAGGTAAAGAACTCAACCAAGCACCGAATAGAATAAGACAATGACTGAGAACAGAGTGCGAGGAGTGATACATGCAGAGGTCCCCTATCAGCTACCACAGCATGGATCCACCATCTTGGACTCGTATTGGACATCAGCGAACACGAAGTACGAGAAAGCAGCTTAATGGAGCTTCTAACAGGAGACAGAACAACCGGTAACCAGAAATATACGCTTTCTCACCCCCTACCCTTCGTCACCCCCACTTGGCCTCCTCTGCTTCCTAGAGCCACAATCTCTTGGTGGGGAAGTACTGGCTTCTCCCCACTGTCGCTTGGATTCCACTCGCCCGCACTGGCCAGCTCCCTGGGTGCCATTCATTGGCTGCTGGTGTTGCTTTTTTCCGCTTCTTTAAATTTCTTCCTTACTTCTCACCACCTCCCCATCCTTTCTCTCAAATACCTGGCTCCACGTGTCATCTTTGCTTCTTCCTGAAAGGCGGCGAACTACCACTCGACTGTGAAACCACTTCCCGGCCCGTGATGCTGTGCTGGTGGGACCGCCGGGGCTGTTTTTGTTTGTTTGTTTGCTCTGATTTGTTCTGTTTTGATTTGTTTGTTTTCTTTTCTTTTCTTGGCTTGGGAGCCCCTTCTAGCTGGGCAGTACCACGCGGCTTGGAGGCTACTCTCTTACTCTGTGCAGAGGCACAAGGACATCCGTGGGGGCGTTTCTTTTTTCTTCTTTTTTTCTAGTTTTTGTTTTTTTGTTTTGTTTTATTGTCTCTTATTCACTTTTTGTCTTTCTTCATTTCCAGTTTCTTGATTTATTCATTTTTTTTCTTTTACCCTTTTTTTTTTTCATTTTTGTTTTTCCCCATTTCTCAGTATATCCTTGCTCCACTCCAATAGCAAGCTCCCTTAGCACTCTTTTTATCTGTGTGTATGTTTTTGGCTCCTGTTCCTCCCTCCCCTCATCATTCCCATACCCATCTTAACTGCACACATCACACTCTCTCCCGCCCTTCCTGCCTACCTGCACTGTGCACTGAACATCATACTCCCAAGCAGCACAGGCATGGCGTACTGAAACCTACCCTGCACTGATTCCCGGACCGCACTGTTAGACCTATTACGTGCTGCAAACAACCCATTCTAGGAACTCCCCTTCAGCTGGACCTGCCCTGCTACACCATACCTGAGTGATTAACCCTGCCCACTGGAGAAAGACGGGAAAAGTATCATGACCACAGACAAGCAAACAACAAAGAACGCACAGGCCACCTGTTAAGACATAACCAAAATAAAACAAAAAAGGAGGATGAAACAAACAAATCTACAATCAATAAACGAAGAAAATAACTACTGAATGCCCCGAAGAAATCAGACCATATCAAAACATATACAAAAACCAGACAAGATGTTTCCAGTAGGCATCCAAAAGAAAACACCAGATGACCTTCCAGTTGAAGAAAAGGCACTAGAACTGCCTGACAGGGAATTCAAATCTCTAATATTCAGAATTATCCAAGAGTTGAAGCAAAAAGCAGACAAAAATGAGGAAAAAATGGACAAATTCATGGAAAAGGCTGACAAAATCATGGAAAATACAGACAAAAAAAGGAAGAATTCAATAAAATAATACAGGAACAAAATACTAAAACAAATTCACAACTAGAAATCATACAAAAACAACAATTAGAAATCCAAAGGCTAAACAACAAGATTTCACAAATGGACAGTGTCATAGAAGGGCTGAGGAGCAAGCAAGATCTTTCTAATGGAGGTCTGAAACGATGGAAGACAGGATTAACAAAACTGAAGACAAACACGTGGATACAAAACTGTTTGAGGAAAAATCAGAAAAAAGAAAGAACAAAAATGAAGAAACCATGAGAATTATGTGGGATACAATCAAAAGCAAAAATCTGCAAGTGATCTGAGTTCCAGAACAGGGGAGTAACAGAAAACACAGAGAGGATCATTGAAGAATTGCTGACAGAAAACTTCCCCAATATCATGAGAAATGAAAACGTGACCATCCAAGCAGCTTGAGAAAAACAAAAAGTTACATACAGAGGAGAAACAATAGGACTAAGCTCGCATTATTTGGCAGAAACCATGCAGGCAAAAAGGCAATGGGATGACATATAAAACCTTGAAAGAAAAAAATTGCCAGCCAAGAATAATATATCCTGCAAAATTCTCATTCAAATATGATGGTGAAATTAGGTCATTTCCAGATAAACAGAAATTAAGGAACTACGTAAAAACCAAACCAAACTTACAAGACTTATTAAATTGAGGCCTCTGATCTGAGAACAAACAACATCAGAAAACAGGCTGAATACAGGACACAGGATTATACTAGCCAGATACCAATGTAGGAAATGAACATTTAAGGACTGTGCAAAACCAAAAGAATTACAACAGGGAACCAGAGAGGTTAATCTGTAAATGATAACAGCATCAGAACAATAAAAGAGGGAATAAACGGTATAGAGATAGATCCTTCTAATGGAGAGAAAAGCAAGGTGATACCAAGTAATAATAGACTGGTTAAAACCTAGGAAGATGAGGGTAAATTTCAAGGTAACCACAAAGAAAGGTAAAAAACCTATTCAAAAAAATAAAGAAGAAAAACATAAAGTCTCAGTAAAAACAAAACCTACAAAAACAAAAGAACTACAAAAAAAATCCACAAACAAAAGGAACTCACCACAGGAGAGTAAGAGGAGGAAAGAAAATGTCAGCACCACCAAAAAAGGCACTACAAAATGACAGCAATAAACTCAAACCTAACAATAATTACACTGAATGTAAATGGCATAAATGCACCCATAAAGAGATGGAGAGTGACATAATGTATAAAAAAGCAGGATCCAGCTATATGTTGTCTACAAGAGACACACCTTAAAAACAAAGATGTAAATTTATTAAAAATCAAAGAATGGAAAAAAAAGGAACAAGCAAACAGCTACCAAAAAAGAGCAGGAGTGGCAATACTAATGTCACATAAAATAGACTTTAAAACAAAATCCACCCTAAAAGACAAAGAAGGACACTATATAATGATTAAGGGGATGATCCATCATGAAGACATAACCATAATAAACATCGATGCCTCCAATGACAGGGCTCCAAAATACATAAAACAAACTTTAACAGCACTAAAAAGAGAAACTGACAGTTCCAC